TAAAGTAAACTGACCGACTGAAGGAACTGAACCTTTTTAGTCTTGGAAAGAGAAGAGTGTGAGGGGATCTCTTAAAAATATCTAACATCCTCAAAGACACTCACAAAGTCAACCCAGCTGACTGCTTCAGAATCAAGAATGAATCACAACCCACAGGACACATGAGATTTAAGTCCATTTAAAATCAAGCAATGGATGCACTTCCTTACTCAAAGAGTTGTGGGAGTCTGGAACAAGCTACTTAGCCATGTTGTTCAAAGCTGATACTCTGATACTCTTGTATCAAAGCTGATACTCTGGTTTTGGCAGGATGTGTTCTTTGAATTAACCTGATTAACTATTAACAACCTAATGGCTGTTATCAGTTTCTACTGGCTCTACGGTATTCAAAGTTGACCTTAAAGCTCAATCAGTTTATGGCTGGAGTAATGAGGTGATCAGTGACTGTACTTTAATTTAATTGGCAGTTTTAGATACTGAAGAGGACGCTCATTTATCTTGTACAGTGTGTCTGAGCAAAATGTCTAGGTTTATTTTCTTACTGTTATTTTTTATGTTCTTTTTTAATTAAAGCATAATCTATTAAGAACACAAAAGACATATGGGGAACAAGGCAGAACCCTCTTGTGGATTACATAAATGACTCACTGTGTTTACACTTTGATATTTGCAGTTTCAAATGATTTTTTAAGGTTTAATTTCTTTTTCTTATTTGAAGATTGGGATAATTAAATTGTCTTGGGATTTGAAAATGCCATGAACATATTTCACAGAATTTGCCAGGCTATATTGTCATCTTATTCAGATTCACCTCTGGCAAGTGTCTTATAAAACTACAATAATGTATCCAGAAAGGGAATTCTCATACGAATCTCCCCCAGGGGAATTCCAATAAAAATACAACAAATGAAATTCCCACTATGTATGCATTAATCTCCGACAGCGTGAATTACATTTCTTTCTGTTTTGTGCCCGACTCTTTCTTCACTGAGCTCCACCTTTCAGGTGACATGTTATCTTACAACTTCCCCCGAGCAACAAAAAAAAAATAGAGAGAGAGGATCAATGAGTCAGATTGCATAATTCAAACCAAGACACTTAAGGAAAAGTTACAGCAGGCCTGATATTTAAGATAAGTAGCCATTTTTTTAAGCATATAAAAGAGCGATTTTTTACAATAAGATTTAAGATGTTCTCCATGCAGACCTGAAGAATGGCACGGACAAGTAACACATTCTTCCCAATAAAAGTGCAGTTTCTTTTGGGGCCAAATCACATAATTCAATTCAAAAAGGCAATGAAGGAAAGAATGATTAGATTCCTCTTTTCTCTTCCCGAAGTGGAATGCGTAATGACGAAAAGCAAAGCAGGGGTGGTATTTATGTAACGAGAATGATGACGTTATCTTGAATAAAGGCATCCATCCATCTTCCGAATCAGAATCACTATTTGCCAGGTCAGTTACATGAACAAGGAATCTTGGTGCAAAAACATTGATAGAAACAATCAATAATATTTATACTGTACACCTAACACAAAGAACACACACTCTACCTCCCGTATTCATGAGTCCTGGTTAAGTGTGGCCATGGCCATGGGTAAGAAGCTGTTCAGATGCCTAGTAGTTTTGGTTTTGATCGACTGGTACCATCTCCCTGAGGCACATTTTTGAAACAGATGGTGTCCATGATGAGAGGAGGTATTGACAGTCTTTTCTGCTTGCTTCTTCAATCTGAGTTTACACAGGTCTTCAATAGAGGGCAAATGACTCTCACTGCACGGGGGACAATGAGTTGCAATTTGCCTCTAGAAAGGACAGACATGGTGCCAAACCAAACAGATGCAGAAGGTGTAAGAATGCTCTCAATAGTGGCTCTGTAAAATTGAATGATGCAGGAAACACAAATCTCTGGTGCACTTTCTTTGCAATGGCTTCACAAGGCATTCAAACCTGCTTTAACCACTTCATAGTGGTGAGGGACCATGAGCATGTGTCCAGCAAGCAATGGACACAGGGCAGGGTACACCCTGGATGGGACTCCAGTCCATCGCAGGGCCCACACACACACAGACACACACCCACTCACACCAGGGCCAATATTCCCAGAAGCCATTTAACCTACCAGTATATCTTTGGACTGTGGGAGGAAACCAGAGCCCCTGGAGGAATCAGCACAAACACGGGAAGAACATACAAACTCAACTCCGATCGAGGAGATAGGACTTGAACCCAGCGCTGCAGGGCAGTAATGCTAACCACAGCTTTTACTCTTTCAGTCTTTGGCCTGATGAGGGTGTTTCCAGGGAATTAAGTCATTGCTGACATTCCTTTTGGTTTCTTCCTCGGTAGTCTACTATGCTAATGAGTGAGAAGAAAGATGCACAAGATTACTTTCAGCACAATGAAATGAACGGCTCCTTGACGTAAAAAGGATACTCTTCATAGAATAATCAATGGCTCTCGAAGTGGATGCCACATCTCCCCAAATCGTACAGTATTGCAGACATGAAAACCACTGAAACACGACAGATCGCAAAAAATCAAGCCACTGTACTGTACATAAAATACTGCATAGGCTGAATCTATAGACAATAATGATCGGTTAAGTCAGGGCTTTGGAAATTGTCAATTGATGTGCTATTTGTCTAGACAGAAAATTCCATTTTGAAAATGCTTTCACAAAAGGGAAAAACAGCATTTTAACAGATTTTTTAGAAAAAAAACAACTCTGCATCAAATAAAAAAAAAGACTTTTCTGTCAATTTTTCAGTCCCTTTGACTGTCATGCAATTCTGGTGTACAATTCTGTACGTTAGCAAGGATACGTGCCTGCTATCTGGTCCGAGGTTTTCAATGCCAAGTGCAAATAAAACATCTGGTAATTTATATATAATGTACCTTTCATCAAAACAATTCATAAACCCGAGCAGGAGACTTAATACCATATTAAAAAAAACTCTTACTTTTATGTCTCCGAGATTGCCTGAGAATTGACTGTATTGAACATCCAGAATGATTATGCATTTTGAGGAGAATGTTCCCATAGATTAATTCACTTTACATTTAAAAAACCATGTCTGTGACATGAGACGTTTGTCTGGTTCCTTTGCAATGTCATTACATCTTTGCTCTGTTTATTTGTACATTGGTGGAGGACGACCGGAAACATACAGTATTCTTGCAGTGTAAGAACAAAGCTCTGTAGATCCACATGACTCCATAGTCACAGATACATGAAAATTTGACACTTAAAATATTGTCATCTTGAATAAGCCTTTGGCCTTATCATATGGCACTTATATATTTGAGCTGGCCCCCGTTATAAAATTTGAGTGCACTAAGCTAATTGAAAGTAATGAAAAAATAGAAAGGTTTAACAACAATATCCTGCTTCATATTAAAGATGTCATAGTGTTTTTGTCAAATTTAAGCTGAGATGTGAAAATTCTTTAGTTGGGGAAAAAAAGGAACGTAGTTGATTTTTATTTATCGGATTATAATATCTTTAAATACAACTGAATTTATATTTGGACCCTTTAACTTGAATATTTATATTTAGAAAAGTGGAACACTTACAAATGTTTGCTACTATGTTGCGCATGCAATTTATAAGAGTGTTATTGTAAATTCGATACAATTTACTCGTTTAGGGTTCGAATGGTTCCATCTAGTGGTCAATGCGAGTATTCACTGTCCACACTTTAGTTCATTGCACATCGTACACACTACTGGGCTACATTGTGCCTATTATTCCTTCGTAAAAAACTATAACCCCTGCGTGTAAGGGTTAAAAATTCAAAACTGCATTCGCTTCTGCAACGTGTTCTAATAGATCTATTGCAGACAGGTGTAAAAACTGTTGTAAACCACGTAATCTGCACTGCACTGCATACATTAAACTTGAACATATCAGTTTTTACATATTAATTAAATGAAACTCTTAACAAATTTGCAGACTTTTGAAGTTCAGGTTCCTAACAAGATCATACGAAATCAACAGCGGCATGATTTTGAACCAACTGCTCATGAAAATGAGTATTTTTGCTGTACGGTTTAAATCGGGCAGTCCTGGCTGTCGATTTTAGTTTACGGAGAGTAGGATCTACACAATTGCACAAGCAAAATGTGACGAAATATTGGAATATTGAAAATATTGCACGATAATACGCGATACATTTTGTTCTATATAGCATCATCACGGAATGGTAAACATATCAGTGATCTCAGCAGCTCAAACTCGGCAATGAGGAGAATGTCCATCAGCAAACAGTCACCGTGGCATCAGTAGCAGCAGTAAAAGCGTGATTTTGGCCATTTCTAAAACTTTTAAATAATATTTGGGCGATGCATTCAGGTCAACATCCGTGAATGCCTCCAGCTTTTCACTGTCATGAGCTACTACCGTAACGCCGCAGCACGATTCAGATATCCAAGCACACCCCATTCAATATCTAATTACTATCAATAACGCCCTGAAGCAGTTTGTCGATATCACCGCCTGAACGAGGACGGATGACCCTAAAAGACAATAGCGTTTAAAGGACTGCAGGGAATGGAAAAGACAGAACCCGTATTGTTGTCATGGCACATCTCTCCCGGTAAATCGGACCCGGTTTCCCAGAGTCTGAGCAGAGGTGTCTTTCATCTTCACACCTGTGATGTAATCGGCGCCGAGTTAATGGACTTTGTTCTTCGAAACGACGGCCCCAGCGATCTGAACAGCACAGTCCTCGCAAGTTAATTCTATTTAACAAAAGATATTCAGGGAATCTGCATTTCCGCCACAAGCCTTTCTACCTCTCGTTCGCTAGGCTCTAAAATAGGACTTCTCCCCACTTCAAGTAACCAGGTCCCTCTTAAAATAGCTCCAGATCGGCTATTCGAAGAAAACGCCGACTGATGTATTATCTTTAAAACCAAGACACACCCTTCTCACTCCTTATTGGACCTGTGAGCGGCTGAATCTGAAAGTTACTGCCTCTCACGCACGTCTCATTGGCCGCCAGCCCCGTGTCCCGAACTGCGGCCAGTGGATGTGGTTTCAGCCCCGGTTGTCCGCGATGGAAAGCAGCGCGCAAGAGGCGGTGGGAGGAAAGTTTCACGCACTTTGCAGCAAGTGATCCATGTTTGTGCTGCACCTCTTCCTTTTCGAAAAACGCAGCAAGCGGGGATATTTCTCAGCACAGCCCCGTTGCGAAGGGGAACTGGAGGATTGTGTGGTAGTCGGAATGATTTTGCGTATAAGTGGAAGGGACAGTCAGTGATACCACGGTCTGAGTTTCTTTCTTACTGCACTTGTGTTCTAGGGCTTCATCTTTTCACATCTATATGGAGGGATCTCAGGATGGCTTGCACCAGGAAAACCAAAACTTTGGTATCTACTTGTGTTATCTTGAGCGGCATGACCAACATCGTGTGTCTGCTGTATGTCGGATGGGTCACTAATTACATTGCGAATGTCTATATCAAAGTTCAAGAGCCCGTCCCGGAGAAAAAGTTGGAGGACGACAATAAAGGGGAAACTTTGAGGATTATAGAAAGACTTGATCGACTGGAGAATGTAGTCAACCAACACATACAAGGTATTGATAAACTCTGCATTACTGTACTGTAACCGTTGAAATGATATCCGTGTATAATATTTTATTCTCCAAATATTATCCCTACTTTGATTTCTTATTTACTGATTCGGGGTGTTGTGTTCATGCACCAAAGTGCCAGGATCCCATTTTTCCCTGGAGTCTTCTTGTAGGGTCTTATACCATAAAAATGTGTTGCGGGAATTGGAATCTCATAATTTAGGGAGGAAACCTTATATCGCTGCATGTATTGTGCTTAGTTGTGTGTGCACCCAGTCTACGTTATCTCGATTAGGGTAATCAGAGTATGCACACGAACTACAAGTCCAGGGTCCTTTTTCAATGTAAACACGTTTGTTTCCCTTTGCCTTGGCCATAATCACACTTAAAGAAGCGGTTTGGGATGTATTGCCCCATTGTAGAAATGCAAGATTCTCGTGTACTGACACTAGCCTCCACAATTCACACGGCGCTTGTTTAAAAAAGGGGGAGACTTTTCTTTATAGAGATGCGAGAATGCGCTCATGAGTTTTTATTCAGAAGCTCTCTTATTTCCTGAAAACGATTAACTTTAGGTTGCAACCAAACATTGCTCCATAACATTGTAATAATGCGTCTAAAAATAAAATGTATAATACTTAATAATGCAGCACACCGTCTCACCACCCAGATGATTATATAACATACTCCGTATATACAACCAGTCTATTTAATCCTTATAAATGTGCGATTATGTATATTACAGTACGAACAGCAAATTTAGGACGAACATAAAGAACTTTTGCTGCCAACTGTTAACTTTCAAGTCCTGACCGTGGCTGTTTAATTGGCAGTTTGGAATTTTTTTTGTGTCCATTTATGACTTGAGTGACCGATACAGGTAACAGTCTGATATAGCAGAAATGTAGTGTTAAATTCTATTCTTGCTCACTATGATTTAGGTTTAACGTCCGAATTCTCTAGCTCCACTAGCTAAAAGTTTAGCGGCTGCTGTGACAAACGCATTTTTTCTTATACAGTCTACACTGTCTCCATTCCTCAATACATCGCTAATTTGGGCTGCTATTCTTTTAAACAGCATTCTGTAAATCTCGACTCGTCTGTCACGTCGTACTACAGAGCATGCTTACATTTAATCTTTAGTTGTTCCGAACACCAGTTGAATACATTTCACATTGTAGGTAATGTTTCGTGTTTAGCTTTCAGAATAACGTTTGCAAAGCCGTAATAACATTTCTGAATCTTTCAGTATCTTTTTACATTGGTTATGAGTAGGCAGTCATTTAATTACTCGATAACATTTTCTCATCATTGTTTAATTCCCTACAATGAAGTTCTCATCCAACTGAGTTAACAAGGTACTGCGCAATCGTAATTTACACACCAATAAGAGAAACCTAGTTACCTAGTTAATGCATTTTGTAAATGGTGTAAACTTTTTAAATTGCCTCTCCTTTTGGAGGATATAATACATGTAAAAATATTTCTCTCAAGTTTAAGTTACTCCATGGAAATTTAAACGTGGTAACAGCGCAGCCAGCCTGCGTGTCAAGAACTTTGTTCTGAAACACCTCCTTAAAGACCGTAATACAGTGAGTACTTGTAATGCCAATATTACCTTAGTGGTAATGATGTAAAAAGTGAGAAAAATGCATTACTTTAAAGAGGAATTTATATTTTAATAGCAGCGCCCCGATTTTAACAGAATAATGTCTCAACAGTTCGGGATTGAACAGTGTAATAAATAATATAATAATACTTTAGGGCACTGTGCTATTTTAAAAACGTTACTGTTAAGAGAATATTGATTTAGTTGTAGAAGTTTCTATAAAATATAGAGTGCAGATAGTAAGAGTAAACACTTAATGCCTTATTTAAATGTTTGTTTCTACCTTTTCAAAAAGAGATTGGTTTCCATTAACGTCCTGAGCTTTTGACACTGCCATTTGTTTCAAAAGCAAGAACTGAGGCAGTAATTGCGATCTAAGCATTCAATTAGCCGTAGAACAGATTGGGACAAATATATTCAAGAGAAGGATATTCATTTAGGGCAGAAGAGAGACTCTGAACTGCTGTATTAATTGCGACGAGTGCAATGCCTAAGTGAAGTAAACCTTCCATTACTAAAATCAATAGGACATTTGCAACAGGCTGATCTTTGAAAGGGGTGTCTAGAAAGGTAACACACTGTATCAAACTTCAGAGATCGAGCTCTGTGCGCACCACGAAAGCACTTCAAATGTCTGTCAGCGTCCATTCCTTTCTGAAGCTCAAAAATGTAATTGCACGGAATTAGTGGAGAGAAATCTGAGTGCCGTGAGGACGTGAGAGTGTGGTTTCTTGGACAAAAAAAACATGCACAGGCAGTTTTCCAGCATGAACAGGTGCCCGGATTGAGGGATAGAGGCACCATAAGGTCAGTGTTTGAATCCGTGTGGAAGTTACTACCCTAAAATTCTGCTCAAGCTGTCAGTAGACATCACACTGCTACACTCCGCTTCACTCATTGGCCACTAAAAGCAGGCTGTAGATCTATTTTGTATTTCATGGAGTTTGTTACCTGTCCTTATTGTTTCATCGGGCATTTTGGCTTAGGCACAACGAGGTAACAATACAAATGTAGATATACAGTTAGCTTTCTCTTGTACTTAATTGGTTTTATTTTGATAACCAACCGGTGACATAGGGCTCACCTCTGTAACATCAAAAAGATAACATCACTCTCTTGATGGTCACTGCTTTGACACTTCCAACAATACACAGAGACAAGCAGTTTGAACTGAGACCTTTAAAATCCTTCTCTACCAACAAGCCTATCAAATTCTAGTACTTTAAATTGTTGATTACCTTACTTTTTCCTTCTTATCAATTTTTAAGTTGAAATGTGCTATTTAAATTAAATGTATTATTATTTCTTCCTTTGCTGTGATTTTGCAAACACAAGATTCATTCCAATGCCTTTTATACATTAAGGATTTTATACCTTTGAACACGGAGTCTAAACCTCTTTGCTATGTAAATTGGCTACTTGTTGAACACAGATTTGATTCTTAATGTCTACTTATGATCTGAAACTCGTCTGTGTACTTGCTGGAGTCTGGTTTCTTCTTTCAAGCTCCCATCTAAAGAAAATGTGATTGCTGGGTGCCCAGACTCTTTGTCTAGAATGGCTAATTGATTACTGAGTTTCATTAACTATGCAGCTAATGCATGCTTACATATTCTCATCTTTTTTGAAATAAGTATTTTTTTATCTTGTTGTTTTAAAGACTTTAGACATTGGAGGAAATTGCAAATACAGTCTTACATTTTTCTTTCTGTTGTATCCGGTTTATGCATTCCCTTACTTGTGAATGCTGCTGGGAATTGTAACATCAATTTCAGTTCTTGTAGACAAAAACCCTTTGTATTGAAGCACACTGAGAAAACCTGGCACAATTGATCTTTGTGATTTTAGCACTTAGTGCCAATGCCAGATTATACTGTTGGCACATGATCTGATTTAGTTCACCTGGTTCATCTTCATGACATTACTGACCTTGCAAAGCACAACTGTTCACATGTGCATTGTTACAATATTAGGCAGCCAGCATCAATAGCTGTGAATTGGTAATTTAATAGCAGACCCTGGTATCTTAAATGCACTGGTTGGCTGAGTCTGACGCAGAGATTGGCTTGTAAAAGTATTCTGTAGTCACTCCGGTTGATCTTTTTTCACCCTTCAGAGTCAGCTTCTGGCATAAGATACTCTAACTGCAGACTTTTCTGTTTCTGTTGCATGATTTCATCCTCTTTGTGCATTGCATTAGTTCCTTTAAATAAAACAGTATAGAAAAATCATTTTTTGTGTCTTTTAGAAAGTTCTAAATACAGATTGTATTTCTATATAAATGTACACTGGGCCTCTTAAATGCTTTTCTTTTCAAAACGTTAATCCTGAAGTAAACACTGTGCATGTTTTTGTCACTAATAACCACAATTAACATCGGAAATGCAGTGGATGAGTCCTAGTAAAGGTTTTAATTTTAATCTGGTCTACAAGATGCTCTTCTGTGTCTAAAACACAGTGGTGTATACTTGCAGACTTTAGCAGTGACATCTTGCTCAATTAACTAAAACGGAAAATGTTCTGGAAAGTTCTCTTATTTGATTCAGTTCCATTTGAGCTGCTTTGAGTCACAGTAAAGTGATCCACCTTTTCAGAATACCGTCACCTCAATTTTTAGGGCTGTTTTTGTATGTTACACAGCTAATTTTTTGTCCTGTCACTGAGGACATGATGATGCTGGATAATTGCTGTGGAAATTCTAGGAGAAGTCATTGAAAATAGTTTCCAAAAGATTTGTAATGGTGAGTGAAACTGTAGTAGTGATGGTAACCAACAATATCTGTTCCTGTCCTGTAGGATTTTGAACGTCTGCTCTTTGTGTTCTCACGCCACCAGTGTTTGCTGTTGGTGCCTCTAAAGTCATCCTTACAACGTTTCCAGGGCCAGCAAAAACAGCATACCAAAACTCAGATTTAAAAAAAGATTACTCTAAAATGTAGGGATTACAGTATGCAGATTTTACAGAGCTTGTCAAAAATTGCTTTGACTGTTTCATTCATTTCGGGATAACTATGCAGCTTATACAATAATTGTTATTAAGCCTGTGCTGCGCTTGTTGTAAAACAAAGCTTTCTTTACCAAGCTCTTCCGCTCTGCTTAATTATTCTTATTTTAGATAAGGCTCAATGCACAGCCACCCTCCCACTGCAAACTGTGTTCTCACTTCTTTTCACTGCTCCTGGCAGATTTAACAGTTTATATGAATTTGAGAAAGTGCCTTGAAACTCTGTTTGTATAGTAAATGCAGAGAAACAGCCCATTACTGAGAATGTTAATGTGGAATGAACCATCATCTATTTAAATTAATAGCAGCAGATAGGGGCCAAAAAGCAAACGGATGCCTTTGAAAGGATAATGGCAAACAATTAAAACTTACGTTTAATTACTATTCCAT